TATTTCCTTAGCTCTTTACTCTGCCTTCGTTAGTTTATTTGATTATGACTACAGCTGTCAAAAGAGTAGGCCTCTCATTTTACAGATGCTGATTAGAGAGACTAAATGACCTACTAATGTTAAAAAGCTGGCATATTTCAGAACTAGAATTTGAACTAGGCTACCTGCTCAGTGGTCTGACCTCTCTCCCACTTTTCTAACAGTCCTAATACTTATATTTATAAAGTTCTTTTCCTCAGAGAGCTTTCCTAGCAGTCTTGGGAAAAATACAAAGGTACATGATTTCTCAGTGTTCCTGAAGATTAAAAGACCATAATGTGCCCACATGCATATAGCATGTGAGTGGTTATCAGATGACTGCTTACGGCAGCAGTAAAGTCTGTACGTTAGATGTTGGTCTCCATATAAATCACTGCTTAAAAGGACCATGACTTTGCCCTTAATGTCTGCTTACTCCTTCCTGCCACCAGACTCCCTTCTCTACCCAGCCTTTCTCCACAATGCACAGTCATAAAACAGCATCATTCCTGCATGTCCATCTTAAGTCAATACTAGCTCTCAGAAAGAAGCTATTTCCAAGGCAGAGAGGGAAGAAAAAGGCAACCATTCACCAAAAATCAATCAAGTTGTCTCTTTATACCAAAAATTCCTCCACCTCCAGTTTTTCACAGTATTTTCTTCAAAGTCATAGTTCACCTAAGATAAATTATTCAGTAAATTAGCCTTAACTCATCAGAAGATTTGTACACCAAAATGTATAATGTATAAAGAGCCAAATCAGAGTGAAATGTTAGTGACAAATGAGCAAACCTCTTCTGAGCAGAGCCCAGGGAGTTCCCATAGACCCCTGCAATCCACGTGAAGGTCTCAGCCTTCCTTCCTCATCACACACAATTATACCTGACAGAAAAGCAAGCTCCTGTCCAGTACCTCTGACTCAAGTGGCCCAGGTACCACAGCTCCTTGGGGTCTGCTTCATTGTGAGCTTCCTGGAGGCAAAGACCAGGTCTATAATGCAGTGCTGCTGATAGGTCAAAACACCCATCTGACTAGAGGTGAGTAGCAAGTGCCAATGACAGTAATAAAAATAAGGTCAGCTCTTATCTCTAAGACAATCCACTCACTTAATTTTAATAATCGTTTTATAATAGAACTTTGACATCCAAGCCAGTCTAAAAAAAAAAAAGCCAAATAATTCTTCAGCTGATTTTCAGAAGCTGTAAATCATACAAGTGAAGACTGCCTATCTTCTATCTTTTTCCTTAGGAGTAACTGGTGGATTTGAACCACCCGCCTTTACGTTAGCAGCAAATCTCCTTATCCACTAGTCTACCTGAGCTCCCTCAGGTCATGTTCACACTAGATGAAAATAAAAGGTTTCTTTTTATCTTTAGACTCAAAGGAAAACTTTATAAGTCACCCATATTGCTAAAAACTATAGGAATAAAGTTATTTAATTCTAGCTAAAGCAAATATTTTAACTACATACTCTTAAACTTCAAACTTATATTTATGAGAATGATTTTTGAGAACTTCCTTCTTATTCTGAATTTAAAAGTTTTTACATATTAGTCACATCCACATTTTAAACCAATACATACAATTCCCTCCCCCCTTGAGTTCTTTTATTTGGATCCACAATCAACAGAAAGTTAATAAAAACAATTCAACTTACTGCCACGGAGTCAGAACCAACTCACTGTTGAAACATCTTAAGTTTGCCAAGGCTATAAACCTGATGCAAAGAAACTGCCCATCTTTCTCCTTTGGAGCAGCTGGTGGACTTGAACCTTTGGATTGGCCGTACAACACCTAACTTCCTCAAAAGGAAGCAGCAGTCAGGAGATCAAATGAAACACTGCATTGGGCAAATTTGCAGCAAAACGTCTTTTCAAAATACATTTTATTTTACTTTTTAAAATATTTATTTAAGTTAAGTTTACAAAGCTAATTTCTTTTTCACACACATTTTGTTTTATTGCATTAATACAATACCCACAACACAACTGTACTCTTTGTTTCCTCATCCTCCCTATAATTCTCATTTTCATTAATCCATTCTACTTCTTTCTGCCTTATCCCTCGGCAAATAAATGCTGCCCTTCGGCTCTTATGTGGTTGACTATTCTAAGGAATAAAGGCCTCCCTGGTGCTATTGTTCATTTTATGGTGCTAAGAAGCTGAGCTGCAATCCCAAAGGCACACAGTTTGAAGCCACCAGCTGCACCATAGAAGGATGGGCAATCTCCTCCTCTGTGATTTTCTGCCTCTGAAAACCTGCTGAAGGGGAAGCTATGTTCTGACTCCACAGCACAAAACCACAACAACACTGTCTGGCTCTAAGATAAGGCAAGTTAACTTAGATATCTTGGTTCCAAATTCAAAGGTGACTAAGGACCATGGTCTTGAACTTCCACTAAGTAAGCCTGACTACTTTTATAGTTTTTGAGTTTTATTCCCCAATTTACACCACCCCACCCTGAACTCTCCCCTTTAAAGTGGTCAGCACTGGCAGTCAGACACCAACTAACTCTTATCTCAAATTTACAGAGGTTGAGGTTTTAGTGGTCCATCAGTCCTTTCTTTGTTTTTATTGTTTCTCTTTTTTTTTTTGTCCAGATAGGGAGAGGCCACTAGGTGAACTTAAGTGGCTGCTTGCAAGCTTTTAAGATCCTAATTGCTCCTCTCCAAATTAGGATGTAGAATATTGTCTTTATGGACTGTGACTTGCTCTCAAGACTACAGCCCAGAGGCTCTGGGATAGTTGCTCATTCCTACATGTTATGTTTAAGAACTTTATGTGAGTTAGCCACACACTGGCTCAAATTATCTTAAATGTAACTTAAAAAAAAAAACTCATATTGCACTACAGGAGAAGGATGGGCAATCTCTTCCCTTGTGATTTACTGCCTCTGAAAATCCACTGGAGAATCAGCTATGTTCCCAAGCAACAGTACTCAAAAAACAAAAATATTGTATTGCTATTTCTAAAACATTTCAGCCAAGATCAATTTTTGTAATTATTATGTAATTCGGGGTGTGGTGTCTTTGAATTTCTTTTTCATCAAGCCTTTTCTGGTTGGTACAAGCAATCTAGACACAGATAAGGACATATTTTCCATTTGTTTAAAGTTCCTTTTGTGTTTTAGAGAGCTCTGATGGCCTAGTAAGTGAGGAGCTGTGCTGCCAATCCAAAGGCACACAGTTTGAATCCACAGCTGCTCTGTGAAGAAAGGTGGACAATCATCCTCTTTGTGATTTATAGCCTCCGAAAACCTGCTAAGGTTGAACATGACTTTTGTCCACTTTAGTCATAATGAAATGCAGACATTCCCCAGAGACACTGCAGCACCAGTGCCAGTGTATCACACAACACAGTGCACACCATGTAAAGCAATTTTATTAAGTGTACAGCTCAAAAAAAGGTTATATATTTGAGAACTACTAATTATGACACAGAAACACAAAAAAATGGGAACATGGAGCCTATAAACTTGCTCCACACAGAAATGCCACCAATCTTTAGTTTGTAAAATGAAACATAGCATCCACAGACAGCAATAAAGCAAAGTACAACAAAACAAGGCATACTGGTCACCACCATCAACCATGCTGTATGTGAGAACTGAGTTCCTGACCCAAGGAGACCAAAGCTCCCACCTGTCAAACACTCGAGCAGACATCCCGCCCTTACCAATGTCAAGAGCCAGCTCTTAACTTCTGGGCAGCCACTACCCCCCAAATCATTCAGAAATGGAAAGCAGTTCCAGTGAAACTCAGCTCCTGAAGGCCCTCAGTAGGTCTAAATCCAGCTGGCCCTATCAGGCTTTCATTCATTTATTAAAAAGTTAACACTGCAAATGAAACCAGACAACCACCAACACCAAATGAGTAGTTAAACTCCAGGTTTAGAGATATTTCAAAGTTCAACATTATCAACATTTGTCAAGTCTCCATTTACTTACCATCTGGGATATATGCTCATGTTACTTGAAAGATTTAAAAAAATGAGAGTATTAAAACTTTCTCATCCTATTAATTAGTTTGCACTTTCCATTTCTATTACATAATGGCTATCTCTGATTGCAATTACAATCTTTCTGTTTGCCTTAGCAAGGCAAAAACTGACAAGCTACTGTGACAATTAAATCTAGTTTGGTCCCAGAGTTCTTCTGATCAATACACTTTGCATCAACATCTTTGAATGGCTACCTCCCACACTCCCACCTCCACCTGTGGATCGTTTATTTCTGGCCCCTGGCCTCCCTGGGTTAGTAACTTTTTTCTCTGTAATTTGCCCACATACTCAAAAGTGTTAGAGACCCCTAGTGGCCTTGTTGTTGTTAGGTGCCTTCTAGTTGACTCCAGTGGATCTGAACCCTGACCTGTCCTGTGCCATCCTCACCAACTCTGCTATATATTTAAGGCCACTGTTACAGTCACTGTGTCAATCCATCTCATTGAGGGATTTGATGGGTATCCACCTTTCCAGCATGTTGTCCTTTCCCAAGGACTGGCCCTTCCTAACAACATGCCCAAATTATGTTTCACTTTCCTTGCATCTACGGAGCACCCAGGTTGCAACTTCTCTGAGACAACTGTTTGTTCCCTTGGTGGAATTCAGGACTCTCACCTCAAAGGCACTGATGATTCTTCTGTCATTTAGTCACTATCCAACTTTCAGATACACAGCAAGTGAGTGACTGGAAAAAACCATCGTTTTGATTTGGCACACCTTACACTGCACTTCGAACCTAATGGTGGAATGGTGGTTTGAATCCACCAGCTGTGGAAGAACCACGGCCAATTTACTACTATGCGATTTACAGCCTCCAAAAACCAGCTGGAAGGTCAGCTATGAGTCAGTTCTGACTCCAGGGCATATAACAACTGGAAGGGCAAAGGAGATGCCTCATTCCAACTGCCAGTATCCACTGGCCACAGCCCCCGACATTATGTGTATCTACAACGCTGAATAGCAATCTTTCAAGACTCTGTACCTGCCAAGCTCCTCGCCGGTGTCGTAGTAATCATCCACGTTTTCTTGTCTGAAAACAGTCATGATAAAGTGTCACGCCTCACCGAGACTCAGCGCACTTCAGCTCCGCCTCCCGAACCATCATCACCACTCCAGCGCCTCCGTGGGCCCCTCATGCAACAGACTCCAGACCTTGAAAAATAATGACAACCTCAAAAAAAGGCAGACCTCCCCAGGCGTGGTGGCCCAAGAGATCGACTCTGGCCAGGGTGAGCTGGAAACCTTGAGCTCCTCTCTGCTGGGTAGAGGGGCGCACCCTTTGTTAAATCTCGGCCGGAATGCCCCCAGATCTGCAAAGCCAACGCTGAGCAAAACCGTACCCCATGGTTCGCGTCCTCGAAAGCCAGAGATCTTGCTGTAACTAGAAGTGGCTCCTCAGGTCCTGGCCTCCAGCCCCTCCCTGGTCCACACGCCTGACTACCAGCTCCCCAGTTCCAAGGCGCCACAGAACTGAGCCCTTGGGCCGCCGCGTGCGCCCTGCAGGAAGCATCCCTCTCTTGGCTGCAGCGGGGATGAGGGGGCTCCACTGCACTACCCCTGGGTACCCGAACCTCCCCGCCACCCGCCACCATCCCCAAATCGAGGGGCCCCCGGAGGCACATTCCTGGCCATTCCGTCTCCGCTATTCCAGCGAGCTTGCGGGCGGCCGCCCGGGGGAGCAGGGGTGGGAACGGAGCTGACGAGGGAGGCGCGGCCACTGCTCCGGGTTCCTGTGCCCCAACACAAAGCGCCTGGCCTTGGCTCGCGCCACCTGTTCCAGCTGAGTCTCAGGTCCCTCTTCTTTCCACAGCCGTTTCCCCTCCGCCTTCCTGAGATCCTAAGGCGCCGCCCCAAACCCCCCACAACTCGGGTCTGAGAAACCCAAAGCAGCCGGTGGCCCCGGGGCGCGCTGCCACTCACCAGATCTCCCCAGAGCGTGGGCGGAGGCCCAGAACCCGCGCTCGCGTAGGAGACGACCTGGCCGGCGAGGCGAACGTAGGGCGGGATCCAGGGAGCGCGGCCGCTGCGAGCTTGCCCAACACCTGGCTCCAGACCCAGGGGCAAGAAGGTCGCGGAGCCCTCTTCTCAAAAAAACAATGTCCCCGGCTTTGGCTTGGCCCGGCACTCCCGCGGGCTCCGCAGCCACCTCTCGCTCCTCACCGCCTCCCGGGCGGAGGGCGGCGGGCCAACGGCCAATGGGAGTCCCGCGGGCGGGCTGAAGGAGCGGCCCTCCCACCTGCAAGCCGCTCCCGAGTGCAGCCACTCTGAGGGCGACCGCTGCTCCTCCGCGTGGCGCCCCGGGCTCGTGGGCGCGCTCCGCCGCGCAGCCGGCACCCACCCCGCGCCACGAAGGAGCGAGCGCAGCGCCGCGCACACCCCGCTCCCGCATGCGCCGAGCGAGGGGACGCGCGCTGTCCGCACACGCCGCACCCACGCGGTGCCAGGCAACACTGGGCGCAGCCGCTCGGAACCAGACCACCCCACTCCACACGTGGCCGAGAAGCCCCCTTCAGGTGTATTGTAGAAGTAGAATTTGTCTATTCTGAAGGCAGGTACTCTGCGCCTGCCTCTGAAAATCTGCTGGAGGGTTCCAAACCTAGGGCACAACAGGATGGGAAAAGATATTAAAGGTTTAAGCAAATAAATGCATTTAGAAGACGTCTTTGCAATCACTTGTTATGCATCAGAGAGTTGGACAATGACTAAGGAGGATAGAAGGAGAATTGATGCCTTTGAGCTGTGGTGCTGGAGAAGAGTATTGAATGCACCAGGGACTGCCAAGAAAACAAACAGATTCATCCTAGAGAGGGTTAAACCAGGCTGCTCCTTGGAGGCAAGGATTCTGAGGCTTCGTCTGACATACTTTGGACATGTTGTAAGGAGGGTGAGGTCCTTGGAGAGAGACATCATGCTTGGGAGGGTGGAGGAATGGCTAGGAAGTGAAGACCCTCTATGAGGTGGATTGATTCAGTGACTGGGGTAATCGGGATGGGTTTGTCAGAGGCAGTGTGACTGGCACAGGATAGAACAGGATAGGCTGTAATACATAGGGTCGCTATGAATCTCAAGTGACTGTACGGCACATAACAACAACATTCTATGAAGACTAAAACAGGTTAATGGGATAGAAAATTACTGAAGCAGAGTGGTGGTGGCTGTTTTTAGACGCCATCAGGCCAGCTTCTCTTCAATGTTACTCCATAAAACAAGAGAATGACTGGCCTGGGTGCGCCCCTGACCTCTGCCACTTTTCAGGCCATTTTTGCAGTATGTCAATCCATCCCCTTGAAGGTCTTCCTCTTTGGTTAGTCCTCTGATGGTGTTTTCCAGAGAGTTTACACTGCTAACCCAAAAAGCCTCTGGTGGATGGAATTGACCATGACAGAAAGATGGGCAAGCTTCTCTGCTGTGACTTACAGCTTCGGAAAACCCACTGGACCTCCAGCTATGAGTAGGTTCAGATTTGGCAAAAATAAACCAGTGATTTTTGTATTTTACTTTGTTTCTATTTTACAAGGCAAGACATTTTCTCCAGGACTAACTCCTCTTGGTGACATATCCAAAGTATGTGAGACAAATCTCACCATCCTTGCTTCTACAGAACATACAAGAAAAATGTGTTTGTTCTTTTGTTAGTCTGTGATATGTTCCATATTTGCCAACAGCGAGTTGACCGACACACAGGTATTCAATTTTATTCGTTGTTCAACTTTGTTGAACATATGAAGCACCTAAAAATACCATGGCCAGGGTCAGACACCTTAATCTAAAATGACATTCCTACTCTAATTAGTTGCTTGCCACAAATCACATCATGGAAGTGATTACATTTCTTTGAATCTCATTGATCAAATGTGTGGTGAGCTTCTTTAATTTTGGCAGCAGTATACCTCTCATTTGAGCATGCCACTCAGATCCATTTATTAAGTGACTTGAAAAATTTCTAGTTTCAGTGGGCCAAAGCAGATCTTGACTGGAGTGTATGTTTCCCTGCTACTTGGGCTATATAATTTGTTGACTCAAACAGGCTTGAGTGGCAGCAGCAGACTGAGGTGCTGTTTGAAGTCTTTGGCAGATCCCTATCATGAGTCCATGTAAGGAAGTAGACTTCATGTTGTATTATCTTCTACCGAAGGGAACACTGCATAGTTTAAAGTGAGGAAAAGTACGTGTCAGGATTATAGCCTTTTTCAAATCCTATTCAATCTGCGTGCTGAACAAATCACTAGAGAAACTCTGTAAAGAAGAATGTGGAATTAGGATTGAAGAAAAACTCATTAACAACCTGTGTTGTGCAGCTGACACAACCTTGCTTGTTGCAAGTGAAGAGGACTCAAAGCAATTACTGAAGAAGATAAAAAAATTACAGCTTTCAGTATGGACTATTTCTCAACATCAAGAAGACGAAAATCCTCATAGGATTTTAGGATGTTGCCTAATAGGCAACATCATGCTAGGTGGAGGAGGGAGATATTGAAGTTGTCAACAAGTTCATTTTATTTGGATCCATAATCCACACTCAAGGTCATAGCAATCATGAAATCAAAAGACATGTAAAACATGTGTCACTGGGAAAAATCTGCTGTCAAGGGCCTCATCACAGTACTAAAGAATAATTGATATGTGGTTAAGGTATGCCTGACGTAAGCCATGGTATTATCAATTACTTCTTATGCATCTGAAAATTGGATGATGAGTAAGGATGATGGAAGAACCGATTCCCTTGATTTTGTGGTGTTAGTGTAATGAATCTGCTGTGTTGTTGTTGTTAAGTACCATTGAGTTGTAGACAACTCACAGTAACCCTAGAAGTGAAAGACCTGAACACTTGTATAACTTGCATGGTTTCTCTAAATTCATAGAGTTTCCGGAGGCAGGCTTTCAGAAGTGGATACTACTCCTGCTTCCAAGCGTGTTTAAATTGGGAAGCTCCACCAAACACTGTCCACCATGGGGAACCAAAACTGCATTTGACACATTAGTGTCACAGTGTTTAGCATCACAGTAACCACAAGTTACTTTTGTACAGCAAATTGACAGACCAGTGTTATATCACTTAGAAGAATGTTTTGACCAAAAACAATTAATGCTAGGCCTGAAAACCGCAGATTAAAATCACCCACATTTGGCATGATAGTATAACTTTCTATTCACTAGGCCAACAGAGCTCTCTCTATGACTCACAGCAATTCTATGAACAAACAAACCTAACCCTTGCCCTATCTTACGTCATTCTCACAATCTGAGACTTGCTCAAGCCCATTGTTTCAGTCACTGTAACAATGTCAAATCTTGAGGATTTGATGGACATCCAAAATAATGAGCAAATCTTTTTTGGAGGAAGTGCAACCAGGGTGTTCTTATATTGTTATATGAGACTTAGTCATGTTGTTAGGACATCATGTTGGGAGAGGTGGAGGTTCAGCAAAAGGGAGGAAGACCCTTACAAGGTAGACTGACACAATGACTATAACAATGGGCTCAAGTATTTCAGAACTTGTGAAGATGGTACAGGATAGACCAATGTTCTAATCTGGTGTTCATAGGGTGATTATGAATGGTGTGTTACTGGATGACACCTAATAGCAACGACTGTTACAAAATAAATACAGTAACTGGGTGACATGTTGTAAGGAGGGACAGGTCCTTGGAGAGGGACATCATGCTTAGGAGGGTGGAGGGCAGGCGCAGGAGGGGAAGACCCTCTATGAGGTGGATTGATTCAGTGACTGGCGTAATTGGGATGGGTGTACCAGAGACAGTGCTATTGGCACAGTATAGAGTAGGGTTTCTGGCTGTTGTACATGGGGTCGCTATGAGTGGCAAGCGACTCAAAGGCACATAACAACAACAACAACAACAACAACTGGATAACTCTATGAAAAAGGAAAATAATTCTTTCACAGTTTAGGATGCTAGATGTCTGACTTCAGAGTGCTGGTTCTGAAGGAAGGCTTTCTCTCACTGCTGACTCATAGAACAGGAAGTATGTGGTGGAAGAATAAAGCAGCTGCCCCCAGGCCTGATCACTCCTTGAGAAACCTGATAACATCTAAGGCAACCAGAGCAGAGGCCAAAGCAAAAAACAGACCAGAAACCAGACCAGACAATGGATCCTGATAAGGCTTTGGGCCTGATCACAAAAGCCCAAA